CCCCAAAACCCCAAAACCCCATGTGAGTACTATGTTGCAAATTAACAGGAAGGCATTAATGAAATAAATAAATATTCTTAAATATAGCAATCAATCGACTGTTTTTAGCATACTTTTTGGCAAACCATATCTGTTCATAGAGCTAATTTTACCTTTTCCAAATTCACTAAATGGCTAGTAGGAACCTGGACCTGGATTGTTATTCAGCACCAGATCTTTGTCTCCTCTAATCTTACCTGGACTAATCTTGGGAGCTCTGGAGTTTTTGAATTTTGAAATCATGTACTTTCCCTCGCCAGACATACTCTAAGTCATGATGTTATATTCCTGAGGAGATGGAAGTTTTTCTTTAGATACATATGGAAATCTCTGGCTAGAGGATCCACTATTTATGGTTGGAAATATAGTTGAGCCTTCATGCTTGAATTTTGAATTTATGAAACTTGCTGGGTCAGATAGCTCAACTCTTGGTGTGTACTCACCTGGACCGGGAACTTTAATTTTAGCTTGCAGATTCAAAAAATCATGGAATGATGTCCTCTATCTAAAGGTATAGGATGGTGCATCATTTCTCGTCTTCATATGATCATATTATCCAGGACCAGGCATTTTCCCGTGAACCTTGACCTATTCAAAAAGTTTGTCTCTTGCTGATGATCCAAATAAATTGGGCACGGATTTTCTATGCAAATTGAAATCAGATGGTATTTCATATGTTCCTGGAGCAGGTTATTACTCTATGGTTTCTAGAGATAATGTAAATAAATCCAATGGTTAATATACTTTCAGAGATCATAGTAGCGTGCTTCTTTCCGTACCCAAAACCAGCTGCTCTCTTTTGCTTTCTAGAGGGTACATCATAAGCTGATCTCTAGCAGTAAGGTTCCTTGGTCTTTTGAAATCTGTCCTAAGAGCCAAATGAATACATTTGCTTGGAAGGAGAGTTATTTATCGTTGATCTATTAATTTATACAAATGATTCCATTAAAAATAAAATTAATATAGTTAATTTTTAAAATTTAAAATTAAAAGTTAAAAGAAAAGAGAGTGAAATGCAAGAACTCAGCGAAAAAAATAAACAAGTCAATCCAGTTGATTTGAATTATAGACCATAGTATATTGCTTAGCTCAAATAAAAACTCGGAAGTAGAGATAAGATTGAAGATTAGGAGATCAGTGATTTGTAAATATTATGTCAAGATGTAATGTTCGAGCAAAATTTCAAGATCAAATCATTATATGCGGATTAAGCTTTGACAAATTTCTAGGACATTAAAACTAGACTGCACTCTATTGATCTAAGTGACAATAGTTAACTGTCTTAGCTCTAGAGACAAATAAATGAACTTTAGTCTTCACTTGGAAAATATAAATCAAGAATAGACAGCTATCAGTGTTTGGGTAACTAAGAATCTGCACTAATGGATCTCTTGCTAATTATTGAAGTGGCAACTTTGCAAATGTATTCATAATAGATTGACTAATTTGGCAAGATTCAAAATGACCAGCTCTCTCTGGTGAGTAAGCTACTTGATAAAATAGATGATATAATCTTGAGAGAACAATTTGTGCTAGACAGCAATACTATCTCATTCAATCTAGTTAATCTTCATGAAAGCAATCTGATTGAAAATCTATAGGAGTTCATCAAGACTGCGCTTATTAATTATAAGATCATCAAGGAAGAATAAAATCCTTAGTAGCAGCTGATATTTTAGTAGATAGAGTCAATATTTCTCAAACTTAGCACTGCACCTGTTGCCACATATGATAACATCACGAATGAGGTATTTGCTTAGATCCTTTCAAATACTGATGAGGAATACCACTTAAACTTAATCACTATGATTTTCGATATGCAGACAGCAATATGGCAACAAAAGAAGAATGGAAGTGCTGAGAATTTTAAAAGCCAAATCATTTTCAAAGCTGGCTATCTAGTCTATTTAATGCTAGTTCTTTGTGAATACGATGTTAAGAGAGCAATATTGTTAAAAATCAAGGAGCTGATTATTGCTGATGAATTCGATCAAGTATATATAATTTACTCTACTCTAAACACTAAAGCATTAGCATAAATACTCCCAAAGAATAAAGAGTGCGAGAAAGTTCTGCTTGAAATCTTTAACCAACTCATAATCAAGTGTCTAAGATTCATGATTGACAAAGAAGTAAAGTTATTTGCCAAGCATTTATCAAACTTTGTTATGAGACTGAAGCCGCTCAGTGAAACTGTTAAAATCATTAAACCTGACAACCCATTATTAAATGAAAAATGGAAAAAAGATGTCAAAGATTCTCTTAGGAGATTGTAGGACTTATTCCTTAACGAAAAAGAATCTTACCCTAATCCACCTTACAATTTGATATAAGTGTTCTTTGAGTTAAATATAATGATAAGCTAGGATTCAAAAGGCTTTATTAGCATTCAGGAATATGATACTCTATTGTAAGTTACAAGAAAGTTAATCGAAAAAGCAGACTAAAATGCACTTATAATTGTTAAACTAATACAGTAATTAAATAAAATTAATATGAGTAATCAAAATCCTCATGAAGTAAGTCTATTTTACCTTTTAACAAATTTACAATTAGTTTTATGATAATTTTGGGTACTTACTTTAAAAAGTGCTTTTAATTAAAGATGTCAACATCTTTTACTAAGTCTTAAGTGCTTTTGTTGAATTTGCTCAAGTATGCGAAATTGAAAGTCTTGATAATATGATACCTGAGGATATTCAAATTAGAAGCGTACTCTCCTAATTCATTACCTAATTCAAATTCCTTCTAGATGGTATAAATACAGTTATTTACCTTACTTTTTTAATAATCTAGATTTCAACTTAGAAGAGGGTCTAGATCACATGAACTTAGAATTCATGAGAAAGGCAATAAAGGATGCAGATTAGATGGAGAAACTTTGTGTGCCTTAGGAAAAAATGGACAATATAGCTCGAAGATCGAGCAAGCCACATAACTAATTTAACTAAATGGTTTGATAAAATTGCTTTTATTGTTAACTATAGACATCAAGCTAAAATATTGATTAAAGGAAACTTGCAATTATTAAGAAGATCTTGGATGTGGAGTTAATGATCAGATTTGAGGACAGAGAATTCACTGCTATGCAAATTAGCACATTTGCTAATAGTATACTAAAAGATTTTACGGTTCAGAACCCAACTGGAACCGACGTAGAACTCAAGAGGTTTGTCGGAAATTATGACATCAAAATATGAATTTGGTGATGTGTAAATGAATATTATGTTCTGTAATTTTTATTATGGTAATTTCTCTTAATTTCATCAATTATAATTATTTCAAATTAATTATAAAAACAGCAATGACATCGAAGTATGGAACTCCTAAATCTGCTAAAGGTGGATTTTTATCACAGGTCTAGGATCAAAACAAAGGACTAACTAAAGGAAAAAAGAAAGATGGAGTCTAATCAGATTCATTTTTTGGAACTCCAGGTAGTGTCTATTATGGTTTATCAGGAATGGGTGAGTGAACAGTTTATCCTGCTATACCAGTCATGACGAATGTTCATCATGAATTCTTTACTCCAGCTCATGAATTAATAAAACCTGAGTAGTACCCTGACATATACCACAAAGGAGGTATTCAAAATGGTACATATATGAATAAGCTCATTCCATTCGTTAAAAATGAATAACCACTTCTAAGAAATGATGTGCCAAGATTGAATTTGAAAGAAGTCACTTTTCAATAGTAATTTTAGGGAAGAGCTTATGAACCTCATATGAAAGAAGTCGATTCCACATCATTCGGGTTTCCAAGGACTTCGCAAGAAGATCCTAAATCAATGAATGGAAAAATTAAGCCTAAAAGTAAAAACTTGGAGGAAATTCCCTAAACTGTATCAAGTTTTGTAACAACAAACATGAATTTACTCGGTGTCAGTAAGCCTAATTATGCGAGAATGATCAGCAAAGTATTGCCACATCATAATCCTCATATGACAGCTGCTAATAATTTTTAGCCAATAACAAAGCCATTTCATGATAAAGTTGTTAATCCCTTATATGCTCAAGAAATTAACTTGCCAAAGCTGAGATCAGATTGGCAATTCGGGCATGAAGTTGAATCATGCTGCATGTGCAATAATCCATTTTAGAAATTCAACTATCATAGAACAAAAGAGGAGATATTTACATCACCTGATGGAACATTTAGAAATCATCCTGCTTTTCATTGTGAGCATAATAGTGCTTGTCTATGCCATAATCATCAACAGAATTAATTGCCAACCAGGATATCTGGGCAAGGACCAGATCCTTTTGAAGCAACTGAATACTCAAAGATGTATACAAGCAATATGGGTGATACGAGAACAGAGGGGATAATAACTAAAAGCAGAAGTCACAACAAGCTTGGTCCGTAATTCAATTTTACTCTGGAATAGCTAAATCATCTTACTCATAGAGGAGGGCCAGATAGAGGTTAATCAAGAGGAAACTCCAATAAGGTTCCCTATCATGAATAAGTAGATTATGGAAATAGAGCTTGGGCTACTAGAGTAGTACCTTCAAGCTAATAAAATCGAGTGAATACTAATAGAACTCCATTTGCTTCGAGATATACTTAATATATGGAAAGCACCATACATCCACATGCGAGCTAAAAATATTTCCACAACTCCTTGTCAAAATCAGTTTAAAATCTCCCTTCATCTCAAATATAAGGAAACTCAAGATAAGTTCCTATAATGGATCACACCCATAAATACAGGCAAGTGAATTCAATTGGAAATGAAAATTTTTATAAGGTAGATAAAAACTCAGTCGTTATTTCTCTTTTCGGAGAACTAGTAATTAGATATGATTTGAAATCTATGACACTAGAAAAATTTGCATTGCTATCTATTACTCAATCTTTATCTGCATATGATTCATCTTATGCATAAATCGATATGAGCAAAATATTTATCTGTGGAGGTCTAAGAAGAGGTACTTCAAAATTTTTAAGCGACTTTACAGCGATATTCGATTGCTAGTAAAATGAAATGTTTTTGTTCACACCAATGCAAATACCAAGGCATAAGCATGGAGTTGCTACACTCGGAAATTATGTTTATGCAATTGGAGGTGAAGTTGCAGATAAAGCTTATTCTAACATTGTTGAAAGATTCAATTTCAATTCCAAAGGTTGGGAATATGTTGCTCCACTGATATATGAAAGATCATTTTCTAAGGTTTGTGTTTCAACTAACAGCAATAAAATCTTTGTATTTGGCGGATGCATGTCAAATGATCACAATTCTATTATAGAGGTTTATGATTGTCATGATAATTAATGGTCGCTTCTTGGAATATCTACTGGAGAACAGCCCCTAATTCTTAAGGAGCCCTTTAATTGTAACAAGTCATTTGTCGTAATGGTTGAGGGAAATTTAAATACACTAATATAACCTTTAGATAAGGATGATAGGCCATTATTCAATGACTTTGATGATAAGATTTTAATAATTACTTACGATAATTTAAGATTTCCAGCACCTAGTATTTTTGTTGTTAATATTGAGAAAGAGTCGTTAGGAGAGGTAGTTTATGATAAAGAAGGCAGTGATTAAGCCTCCAATTCTAAGAGACTTGTTGTATACGATGAAGTTGGTGAGCATATTGTTGCCTTTGCTTAATTAAATTTTAAGGAGTTTGATTTCCTATCCTTTACAAACCCACCTTATAGATGGAGAAAAAGTTTGTTCTTCTGATTGGTCCTAATAAAAATTAAAGGTTTGTATATAGTGTACTGTGTTAATGCAAAATAATTTTAATTTAATGAAAAATGTATATAATATTCAATCTATTAAGTCAATTTTATTTTTAAGATTTCATAATTTTGCTTCTTGCATATTGATGTTCTTTGCAAAAAGCTGTTGAAAGTCCTCTAGAAAGCAGTTAAACACAATTAAGACAGTGTTTCATACTTGATGTTCTATTAATTGATCTTGACCGTTCATTATTGCTTAGAGCTCGTGGGGGTCTTCCATCTGAGGACAGACAATCTCTTGACTATCTATCATATTTGTTTTCGAAAGCTTGCTTTTCCTACTATATTTATAAAAATTTCTTGAATTCCTCTAAAAGACTTTTTTCTGTCTTACTCATATCATTACTGTCAGCACAATTAAACAGACTCTTTTTATTATTGTTATTCATAGTTGTCTAAGGGATTTAATTAGGGATATGAACATCTATTCTCTCATTTTATATGGTCTTATCTAATATTATTACTGAAGCTGGACTTAAATCTAATGCAAGATCTTTATTTTGCTTGTATGTGATAAAATTATTTCCAGTCAAAGAATCATCTTTAACAGGCTTTATCTTGTTTAAGTTTAAATTGATCTAGTTATTAGTGGTTTTAGAGTTATGAATAGTTTTGACAGTGCTAACCTGTTAATCAACCACATTAAATGGCTAACTATTTATGCCTGCGTTAGACAGTTTTAGCTATTTAAATTATCTAGATTGCCTTCTTGATTGGAATAAAGATTGTGATCTTATTTGAATATCTATAGTTGCAACATTTTTAGAGTTTGTCTCTCTTGAATACTCATGTTTTTATTAATCTATTTATTTTTTAGAGATCTTTTGCTTCGAACTTGATTTATTAATATGGAGCTAGTTGCTATTTCCATTATTATTATTCATATTTTCTTATGATTTCTTGTAATCTTGTGAAATATTCCTGGTAAGTGTTCAACCAACTCTGACAACATTTTTCGAATTACTAAGTTTCTTATTTACTGAATGAGGTGTTTCTAGAGTATTGATCGAATCTCTTGATAATATTAGTTTTTGTTTTTCTCTAATAGGTGATATTAGTTCAGCCTAGTTCATGCTAACTTTCTTTACTCTTTACTTTTTGTAATTTGAGTAAGTTGGAGATCTACTATTTGAGGATGCTTCCTTGATTTTACTGATAGACTTTTTATGCACTATACTTTTGTAATTATTTTCTTTTTCATCAACAACTTGCAATGATACGAAGGAATTGCTAGATCTATGATTTAGGTAGTTTTCTTTGCTGCTCTGAGGTTACTATTGATTGAACTAGATTGTGCCAGACTAAGGTAACTTTTTTGGTAATTGAGAAATATTATTATTCTAGACTATCATATTCTTGAGCATTTATTCTTATTGCCTGATCTCTTACATTGCTCTTTAAAGTTCATCCATGCTGAAACTTGAATAGTCATTTATTATTGACGATTAATCAAGTTTGAATTGTTATTTTTAGTTATTGATGTCCTTAGGCTTACTCTACTATATGAATGATGCTTTTATTTCGCTAATGCCTTCATCAACAAAACTTTATTAATTACTAGCCTGCTATTGCTGCTAATCTTTATAGAAAAATTAAGGATTAAGCAAATTCAAGAGATTTCCATTTGCGAAATTTCCTTTGTTATCTATATTGCAGTTTAACGATTCTCAAAGATTTAATGTGTTTTCTAGATTGTTCATATTAGAGTCATTAAGAATTGTTGGTATTTCATTGTAAATAAGATAAGTAGAATTGTTATTTGCATTATTCACTATAATTTGATTGGGTTAGAATGGAATTTTCATATTTCTTTCATAGGACTCATTTAGCACTTAAGAAGATGGAGCAAATGTTTTGAATTCCTAGTTTTCATAGTTTTTTACTAGACTTTATAATCTCTCTATTTCTTGTTTCAGTTTATAGTTTTCAAATGCTAAGTCTTATTAAACAGATTAGTTATGCTGTGACTGTTTCTAAGGATATTTATTTGATGGCATACTAGTCACCTCTGATCTTTTTAATTAAGATGTTTGCATTTTTAAATGAATATAACGACGATTATTTTTTCTGTGAGACAATTCAAGTTTGATGGGGTTTTGGGGTTTTGGGG